TTTCCTCTCTCCCGGGCTGTCCCTGCCTACGGGAGGAGCGTGCTGCTGGCTGAGGGCAGCCAGGCTCGGGAATTCCCCAGGGAATTGAGGCTTTCCATAGCCGGCGGGCTGATCCTGCCCAAAGCCCACCTCAGGCTGAAATTTAGAGGCGTTTACAAGTCTGGCACTGACCTATGAGGCGCTTTGGAGGGGAGGATCTGCTGTGCAAACCCTCTCAGGAGAGGGGAAACTGAGGCAGGGAGTGCTGATCCAACTGGACTCCAAACTGGGCTCATTCCATAAAAAAAAAAACAAACAAAAAACCTCGACTGAAACGTGCTGGGTTTGACTGCAGGAGGGCCCCAGCTTTTCTGAGAGGGGTTTATGGAGCTGGCACGGTGGTTTTAAGGACATTGGCCCAGGTGGTGGCACAAGGAGCTGGTGGAGGAGGCAGAAATGCAGCTGTGACCAGGGCACTCCGTGGTGACAACACAGAGATGTCCCAGTCACAGCTCCGGTGGCGTTTTCCCCTCCCAGACTCACCTCAGCCATTTCCAGCTGTGCCCAGCTTCTCCCAAAGCAGCCAAAATCTCCTGCTGCTCCATCTACCCTCAGGAAACCTCGGGGGGGAGAGAGAGAGACCCATCAGAGCCAGGCAGGGTGAGGAAAAGCACCTTGAGGTGGCATTCCCAGCATGTCCTCCCTGCTGGAATCCCCCCAGACACCGAGGGGCTGCGTGGCCCCTTCACCACACACCTGCAGGACCTCCCGAGCTTGTCCCAAGGATCTTTCAGGACCTTTCCCAAGGATCTTTCAGGACCTTTCCCAAGGATCTTTCGGGCTCTTTCCCAAGGATCTTTCAGGACCTGTCCAAAGGATCTTTCAGGCTCTTTCCCAAGGATCTTTCAGGACCTTTCCCAAGGATCTTTCAGGCTCTTTCCCAAGGATCTTTCAGGACCTTTCCCAAGGATCTTTCAGGAATTTTTCCAAGCATCTTTCAGGACCTTTCCCAAGGATCTTTCGGGACATTTCCCAAGGATCTGGGAGCCTTTCCAGGCTGCTGAGCCTCAGGAATTGCCCCCAGCACAGGATGCCTTGGATTTCTTACCTGAGTGGATTTTTCTGCCCTCCCGCAGCCTCGCCCCCTTCCCGTGTTTGTACAGCAGATTATCAAAGGTGGATTTGTGAGGAATTTTGTCCTAAGCAGCCTGGCAGCTCCTGCAATGCCTGGGAAACACGAGCTGGCTGCTCTGGGCTCCCAAACCCAGCGTGATGAACCAGCTCCAGGAGCTGTTACAGGAGCCAGGTCTGGAGCTGGTGGGGTTTTAATCAATTTGATAAATCTGCTGCGTGCGAGAAGCGCTTTGCTTTGCCTGGAGCCTCGCGTTCTGTGCTCCTGCAGAGCCCAGAGCCAGCACAGGGTGACATCCCGGCGTGGGGACAGAGGTGGCACCACGGGAAAGGTGCCCTGTCCCCCTCGGGACCCCCGAGGGAACTCTGGGACAAACCTGGCCAACAACAGGGGTTTGCTGGGTGGGGTTTTTACCATTCTGGGACTTGCTGAGGGTGCGGGAGGTGAATCCACCCACCCAAAAACCGCCTGGAAAACCCCTCTGAGCCGCGCAGAGCCGGTCCCCCGCTGTCCCATCGTGCTGTCCCCGCTGTCCCCCGGTCCCCGCAGCCGGGAGCCAGCGGTGTCTGCGTCTCCCAGCCGAGCTAGCCCGGCTCAGCTCGGCTCGCTGGGAAGTCGGAGAGTGCCACCTGGTGCTCCGAGGAGATTCAGATCCACAGAATGCTCGGTTGTGTTGGAATGGACCTTAAAGGCCATCCAGTGCCACCCCTGCCATGGCAGGGACACCTTCCTGTTGGGAAGGATGAAAGTTTGACAAGAAACTGTCACAGATATGGATGCTTAGCAGGAAGATTTTTTTAATGTAGATTTTTGAATAGAGATGGAAGCAAGTTTTTATATAGAAGAAAAGAATTGCTGAGCCAGTCTTACTGGCTAACCAAGGAGGCAAAGGGTATGTTAGTTAGAAGGGGTTTTATGACTTAGAGCAAAGGATAAACCCACCTCAAACAAGAAGATGCTTTTACCAAGCAGAAAGATAGCACAGGCAAACAAGCCAGCAGATGTTAAAAGTAGAAAAAAGGTCTCAGAATTTTCCACTGCAAGAAAACTGAAAAAACAACTCCTAGCTTAAGCTGTAATGTACTAACTTCTAGTGATTGGAGAATAGTGACATGAATGTGGTAATTACAGTAGTTGTGATAGGCTATAGGTAAAAGTTAAGGTACAGATTGGTTCTGCTGTATTAAGATGCTCAGCAAAGTATATAATGCATTATATACTTTTATATTTATATATTTATATTTATATATATAGGGTATATATATTTATATACCCTAAACTAAGGGTGTCCAGGCCTGCCTGCAGCTGGAGCTCACAGCTGTAGGCTCAGGCTCTGTCACCCACGACCTGGACTGCTGTAACATCTTGGATGTAATAAACTGCATTTTGGAAGAGCTGCCTGGAGTCCCTCATCTCTCATTACGGCTCTTACACCTTCCACCATCCCAGGCTGCCCCAGCCTGACCTTGGGCACTGCCAGGGATCCAGGGGCAGCCCCAGCTGCTCTGGGCACCCTGTGCCAGGGCCTCATGGGGAGGAATTCCCGCTGGAATGCTGTCTAGCCCTGCCCCTGGCAGTTGATTTCTCTCCTGGCTCGCTCTGTGAGCAGCAGCAGGTCCCGGGGGCTTGCAGGGCTCTCTGCAGCCCCGCTCAGGAGCGACTCCTGCTCCCTCCCCACCCCCCTGCCCGGGCAGGAGCCTGCAGTGGGAACAGAGCTGGGCAGAGATGGTGTCAGTGCTGACAGTGCCTCTGTTCTGATGGAACTGACACCAGCAGCTGAGCTGGGAAAAAAACCTTTCCCTCTGCTCCCACCCTTCCCCCTCCCGCGGCCATTTCATCACCCAGGGCTCCTGGAGTGCTCCATGGCATGAGGCTGATGTCCCCCAACGTCACCAATGGGCCAAGCAGTCCCAAAAGCCTGTCCCAAGGGCTGCCCACTGCCCACAGGCACATCCCAAGGGAATTCCCTCCTCAGCTGGGAAGGGCCACGGAGGGATGGAAGCACCTCCAGGACAGCCCTGGGATCAGTTTTGCTCGTGGTTCTCCATCCTTACACTTTCTCCAGGGCCTGGGGGTCCTGGGACCCTCCTCAGAGCATCCCTCCCTCTCCCCATGCCCTCACCCACCTCAGCCCTTCGCTGTCTGCTCTGTTCCAGAGCCCCTTCCTGGGGACACCTCTGCTTGTGGGGGCCTGCACCTTCACCTGCTGACCAAAACAAGCCCAAAAACAAGGAGAGTGACCCCCCCCCCCGAGCTGTCACCTCCCCATGTGTCATGTGAATTGGGTGTCACCTCCCAATCCATGTGGGAATTGAACTCCTCTCAGGAGTGGCTGAGAGAGGATCCTCATATTCCAGCTCCAGATATTCCACAGCCAAGGGACCCATTCCAGGCATGCTGGAGACTGAATTTGGAGGGTGCCCCAGCCTCCCACACCCCCTGGGTGCTTTCCATGTCCACTCACTCCTCAGGGCTCCTCCCCATGACCACCAAGCAGCCTTTGGGTCCTCAAGGATGAGGGGGGATTTCCCTTCCCTCTGAGCCCTCCCCTCTCCTTCCAGGAGCTGCTGCTTCTCCCATTCAGCATCAGAGTCCATGAGAGCTTTGGCTCGGGGCTGGCACCACCTCACCCATGGGCACCTGTGGGAACAGCACAGCCAGGGGGGTCTGGATGAGGCCACAGGGAGATAAAACCTCCTCCATCCATCCTGGCAGTGGTTCCTGCCACTCCTGTCACCCTGTGTCACCCTGCCAGGGTGAACACCAGGACCTGCTGGCCCTTCAGGGGTGTTTTTCCAGAGCTGCAGCCTCGGGCAGGGCAGGGTTTCCCCACGGTGTCCAGGTGGCTGCAGTGACACGGGACAAAGCTGCTTGGGACCCCCCTTCTGCCAGCCTGGTGGGCACAGCCCCACGAGCTGATTCCTCACTCCATGATGATCTTCCTTCCCTGAAGGACAGCCACGATGGGAATTCCTTTTCTTCTCCCTCCAGCAGCTGATTTCACACCTCAGCAGGGTGTCCAAGGCCATGTCCCCAAACCTCCGAGGGAGCAGGACCCTCTGCAGCCAGGGGCCGGCTTTCCCTGGAAAAGCTCCGCCAAGAATCCCAAAATCCCTGGCTCCGGGGCAGAGGAGATCCCGCGGGGCCCTCAGAGCGCTCCTGCCATCGGGCAGACAGGTGATGCGATAATCAGCGCTCAGGCTCTGCCCAGCCCCGAAGCTCTGCTGCTTATCTGGCATTTTGCAGCCCCAGCAGCGGCCCTGGCAGCGGCCCAAGGAGCGAGGAGAGGAAAAGCAGCTGGGGCAGATTGCTGAACCCTCCGGGGCTGAATCTCTCTCCTTCTCTCCTCGAGCTGCTGCGATTTCCCCAAAATCTCCGCGGATTTCGAATTCTTTGAGCACTTGGCGGGAGCCGCCTCTTCCACCGGTGACTTTTTTATTTCCTCCTGGATCGACACGAGTTCCCTCCCAGGAAAAAGAAACTCTCAAATCGTTACTTTAACCGGGCTCTCAGCCGGGGAACCCGGCAGAGGGAGAATTTAAGGTGCAGCCGCAAGGAAAAGCTCCAAAAACCTCTGGAGAAGCCAGGGAGGAGCCGAGGAGAGCCCGGCAAGGAGGGCACGGGGGTGGCACGGGGTGTGCGGTACCAACCCAGCACCCGGCACCCCCCGAGCCGCGCAGGGACCGGGAGATGCTTCAGCATCCCCCGAACCCCCCGAGAAGCGCCCAGAACCCCCCAAAAACCCCCCGGTGCTCGGCGCTGCCCCGCGCCGGGGTTGGTGCCTCTAGAGGGAGCTGAATAAAGCGCGGCTCCGCTCCCGCCTCTATCTATGGTCAGTGGGGTTGGGTTTCTACTTGATTTTTTTTTTTTTTTTCCTCTTCTTCTTTACCCTCCTCCTCCCCGGCCCCGCGCGTTTCCTTTGCCCGCGGGGAGGCAGGAAGGGAGCGGCCGGAGGGATGGAGCGGGTCCCGGCAGGGATGCCGTAGCTCCCGGGATATCCCGACCCGCCGGGACGCGGTGAGTGGAGAGGGCAGCCCCGTTTCCCCCTCCCCAGACTCTCCTGGGATGGGTTATCCCGCTTCTCCGGGATGGGCAGGCATGGAGCGGCAGCCGCGGGGTGCGGGGTGCGGCAGGGGTGACAAGGACAAAGTGTCGGGTGGCTCCTCAGGGGACACGGGGGGTGCGGGAAACTCCCCGGGCAGGGCTGGAGGTCTCGCTCCGGGCGGGTCGCTGCCCCAAAGATGGGATTTACCTGCCCCCAAAAGGGAATTTCCTCTCGTTTAACCGATTTTTTTTTTTTTTTTACACGCCGCGGTGGTGATAGTGCCCGCGGCATCAGAAGGGCTCAGGGGAGGGGACATCGGTGGGCAGAGCTGTCCCCGCCGGGGAACGGGGGACACCCGGGACACGGGGGACACCCGGGACACGGGCACGGCTTGGGGAGACCTTGGCTGGGTGGATGCCGGGGGTCGTGTGCCCACCCTGGGGCCGTGCTGGGGGGGAGGCCCCGAACTGGGCAAGCCCCAAACTGGGCAACCCCCAAACTGTGCAACCCCCAAACTGGACAACCCCCAAACTGTGCAATCCCCAAACTGGCCAAATTTTGCTGTCCTGGGGGAGGAGCGGCCCTGGTCCCCCTGGCCGGGGGGGATGGGGTCAGGAATCCTGCGGGATCTCTGGCCCGGCAGGGATCGCTGCCAAAGGCTCGTCCCAGGGGATGCTCCATCAATTTCCTGGCATTCATAACATGTCAGGGGGTGATTCCAGAGCCCCGTGGCTGGGCTTGGATATCGGGATTGCAGCTGCTTTTAACCCCTTGCAGCCTCGTAGGGTGGATGAGACCCTGCAGCTCTCCTGACACTCTCCCTTGAGCCCTGACTCAAATCTTGGAGGGTTTTCATTTCCTGCAGCCCCAGGCTGTCTCTGGGTGTTTGGGTGCCATCTCCTCCTTCACACCCTTCCCTGTTCTCCTGCATGGTTCTCATAACAAAGGGGGAAGAGGGAAGCTGGGAAGCAGGAGGAGCACGGGGAGCATCTCTGGAACCCGGAGAGGATGGTCTGAGGCACTCTGAGCCCTGCAGAGACGGGCAGTGAACTCTTTTGGGAGTCCACATGGGCATTTGGGCCGGCAGAGGGTGGGGACAGCAGTGACAGGGCTGCAGCACCATGTGTGACAGAGGAAACAGCGCTGCCAGGGCCCAGAAGGAAAACGAAAGCACAAGTTCCTGCAGGGCTTCGAAAACGAAATTCAAGTCGAAAATCATGAGTCATCTGCCTCTGGGTTATGTGCTCCAGGAAGTCCTCACTCCTCACTCACTCATGCCAGGCAGGAAAAGTCCCTGGGCAGCCCTGGGCAGCTGTGGGCACAGCCCCCTGCCCCACAGGCTGAGCTGGAAAAGCTCCAGAGGCTCCTGAGCTCTTGGCTGGGTGCACCCACACCCTGGCCAGCATCCTGTGCCACCTGAGCAGTGGCACTGTGGGGTACAGAGGAAATTCCCACTGTTCCCACAGCTCCAAGGGGCCTCTCCCAGCTTGGGAACAGCTCTGAGTCCTCCCAGTGCAGGTGGGCTCAGCCGTGGCTTGGGATGGCAGAGGGTGAAGCACAGGAGGCTCCTGAGTGGAGGAGGAGATGGACACCATCCAAAGGATATGCACATCCCAGGGGATGGACACCATCCAAAGGATCTGCTCATCCCAGGGATCTGCACATCCCAGGGGATGGACAGCATCCCAGGGATCTGCACATCCCAGGGGATCTGCACATCCCAGGGGATGGACACCATCCAAAGGATCTGCACATCCCAGGGGATGGACACCATCCAAAGGATCTGCACATCCCAGGGATCTGCACATCCCAGGGGATGGACAGCATCCCAGGGATCTGCACATCCCAGGGGATCTGCACATCCCAGGGGATGGACACCATCCAAGGGATCTGCACATCCCAGGGGATGGACACCATCCAAGGGATCTGCATATCTCAGGGGATCTGCACCATCCAAGGGATCTGCACCATCCCAGGGTATCTGCACATCCCAGGACAAGGAATTCTGTGACTCTGAGAGCCAGGAGAGGCAACTCTGGAGCTGATCTGGCCGAGTGGCCAGCAGCTCTCCCCAGGGATTTACCCCTGTCCCAGCTGATGATCCTCACTGAATTCTCAGCTCTGTCTTGGGTGGGGATGTTGGAGTTTGGGGAGGAATGGGGCAATCCTGTCCTCCCATCCTCGGAGTGTAGGAAAAACCAGCATTTCCATGCTGGTCACCAGGCTCAGGCCCCTGTGCAGATGTGCAGGGCCTCGTGGTTTTTTAAGCTTTGCACTTCCAGGCCCCATCCCACAGAAAATGGGCTGTCCTCCTGTCTCACATCTCTTTTTTCCTTCTGAACATTCTCCAGTGTGATGCCATGAGCTTGAACCACATTGTGCACTTCTCCCATACCCATGGCTGGTTATTTACCCCTACCCAGCACTTCTTTATTTTTGTCCAGGATGCAGTTTAAATTTCAGGGTGTCAGGAACTGTGTTTCATCCGTGAGTTCAGGCTTGGGGCAAATGAGGAAAGCCCCCAGCTCAGCCCTGTGGAAGTGTGGGCTGGGAATATGCTCTGGAATGTCAGGCAGCAGCAAGGAGCTGCCCTGATCCTGTTAATCCTGAACAGGAAACTTTGTGGCCTCAATGAGCTCTGATGAGCCCTGAACTGCAGGTTTGGGATGCCTGTGAACTTCAGGGAAAAGGTGACCTTTGTGTTCAGCTCTCATTTAATTTTCTTCTTTTCTGAGAGGGGAAATGTAAAAAACAAGGGGAGTTAGAAGCAATTGGAGTCCAGGAGGAAATCAGGGCTCCTCTTGTGAAGATGTTGTCATGGCAGCTCAGTGTGGTCACAGCCAGGGAGCCTCAGAGTGCTGGAATTATTCTTCCAGCCTTTTATGAAGCTCTGTGGTCTGAGCTACCACACGGGTCTCTCTCTTGAAGCAGGAAGGAAGTCCATTAGAGGTGTGAGGTCTCTTTCTGTGGCAAAAAAATGGCATCAACATTGAGATGCTCAAACAGGGGGAACCCAGGGAGGTGGGAGTGGAGCTGTTCTCAGAATTCCAGGGACACAGAATGAGTGTGCTGAAGGGAGGAGTCAGCCAGCCCTGGAGCAGATAAAAGCAGAGAGCTCTGATCCTTGGGCTGTGTGACCGCAGGGCTCCGGCCACTCACCATCTCCATCACCCTTGCAGGTGAAGCTGCCATTCCCAAACCTCTCTGCAATGGCCTCAGGGAATGAGGGGGACCCTCCGCAGGCGCAGGGACGCCGGGGGAGCCACAGGCGCAGGCTCAGCTCAGGTAAAGGGCTCTGGGGGGCTCAGGGGAGCTCCCCTCCTCTTCAAACCTTTATTTGTGTATTCATTTCCCTGCTGTGCTCCTTTGGCTAGATGGGATTTCCTGTCTCCAGGGCTTTTCGCAAGGCTGGGGTAACAGATCAGCTCTGTAAGGAACTGGATTGAACTGGGAGGTGCTCAGTGCTTTTGGGAGGAGCAGTGCTGGGGGCTCAGAGCATCCTGGTCCCCTGGGTGGAGCGGGGCAAGGTTTGAGGTTCTTTTCCACCCAAAATAACCAAGGATTGTGTGCTTGGCATTGGATGGTCAGGGTGGGCAGCAAGGTGGGATTGGAGGCACGGAGAGAACAAAGTGCTGGGAGCTGCCTGGTGTTGAGGATTTCCTTCCCTGAGCATGAGAGAGCAGGAGGGGTTTGGGGTTTGAATCAGAGGGGAAAACGCAGATCTCAGTCAGTCCACGTGGCCTTGGGGTGACATCAGGCCCTGTGTGCCCTGGCAGGGCAGTGGTGACAAGCTGGGAGCAGGGCCACTGTCCCCATGTGAGCCCAGCCCAGCCCAGCCCTGGTTAATGGGTGAAACTGGGAATGGGGCCGACAGGAAAAACCCTCAGCTCATCCCAGCAGGATGAAGGGTGGGACTCGGTGACTCCTGGTGCTCCTGGGCAGGTGAGGAGGGTAAATCACCTGGGCAGACACGGAGCAGTTCCTTCCTTCCAGACATCCCTGAGCAGCTCCAAACCTGCCCTTGGCACTGCTGGCACTGGGAACCCACCAGGCAAACCCTGACCCAGATCCCGTGAGAGGGAGAGATCCCAAGACAACCCCAGTGGGGGTAGCACCTGTGGGAAGGGGGAATCATCCTGTCCTGGTGTTACTAAAAATAGCTCCAGGGATTTTTTTTTTTTTTTTGGTGCAGAGATTTCCTCTTGTGTCTGGCTGTGTGTTTGCACTCCTCTCCCTGAAACTCTGACTCAGTTGCTTTAATTTTCTGGCTCTCCCTGGCTCAGTTGCTTTCATTTTCTTGCTCTCCCTGGAACATCACCGACTCCAGTTCCCAGAAGTTGAAGGAGAGGGGAAATCTGGAGGTTTGTTTGCCACCAAACAAACCCGTGTCTAAAAACATTAAAAAACCAACCCTGGAAGGTGACAGGAGCTGTCCTTTCCCTTCAGCTCTGCTGGTGTAACCTGAGCACGGCAGGTCCAGCCAGGACAGAGAGGTGGGAGCAGCTGGAAAAGCCTGTGAGGAGGATTTGGTGTGATTTGGGGCTTGGGGATGGGGTTTGTGGAGCAGCACTGCCAGCACAGCTGTGCCCTCACTTCCCAGCCCTGAGCAGGCAGATCTCAGGTTGGAATACAGGTTCTGGAAAGCTGCCTGGCCAGTCTGGATTTCTGGGATGGTGGGACAGAGTTTGGTGTTCCTGGTCCCTGTGGGGTCACTCAGTGGGGCTGTGGGAGCCACTGTCCCTCTCCAGGTGCTTCTGGAGCAGCTCAAACCAAGCTCGATCCAGGACATCCCATGGGGACTTTGCCTGGAGCCATGGAATGTGTGTGATGAGGGATCTTTCACCGTGGGGCTGAAACACTCCCGTGTCCCTGAGCAGCATGGGGACAGGGACAGACACGTGTGTGGGTCTGGAGAAGGTTCTGTGGGGACATGTGTGGGTCTGGAGAAGTTTGTGTGGGTCTGGGGGTCTTTATGTGGGGACAGGGACATGTGTGGGTCTGGAGAAGGTTCTGTGGGCCTGGAGATGTTTATGTGGGGACAGGGTCATGTGTGAGTCTGGAGAGGGTCATGTGGGGACATGTGTGGATCTGGAGAAGGTTCTGTGGGTGTAGGGACACCTGAGTGGGTCTGGAGAGGGTTGTGTGGAGACAAGGACAAATGTGTAGGTCTGGAGAAGGTTGTGTGGACCTGGAGAAGTTTATGTGGGGACAGGGTCGTGTGTGGGTCTGGAGAAGGTTGTGAGGGCGCAGAAACACGTGTGTGGGTCTGGAGAAAATTCTGTGGGGACGTGTGTGGGTCTGGAGAAAGTTCTGTGGGTGTAGGGACACCTATGTGGGTCTGGAGATGGTTCTGTGGAGAGAAGGACAAATGTGTGGGTCTGCAGATGGTTCTGTGGAGACAAGGACAAATGTGTGGGTCTGGAGATGGTTCTGTGGAGACAAGGACAAATGTGTGGGTCTGGAGATGGTTCTGTGGAGACAAGGACAAATGTGTGGGTCTGGAGATGGTTCTGTGGAGACAAGGACAAATGTGTGGGTCTGGAGATGGTTCTGTGGAGAGAAGGACAAATGTGTGGGTCTGGAGATGGTTCTGTGGAGACAAGGACAAATGTGTGGGTCTGGAGATGGTTCTGTGGAGACAAGGACAAATGTGTGGGTCTGGAGATGGTTCTGTGGAGACAAGGACAAATGTGTGGGTCTGGAGATTGTTCTGTGGAGAAAAGGACAAATGTGTGGGTCTGGAGATGGTTCTGTGGAGAAAAGGACAAATGTGTGGGTCTGGAGATGGTTCTGCAGGGACGTGTGTGGGTCTGGAGCTGGTCCTGTGTGAATGGCCTCTTCCAAATTTGAGGCTGAACGCGTGGCCTGTCCCCGGTGTCCCCGCAGAAGGCCGTGTGGCGGAGGAGGCCGAGGAGGTGTTCCGCAGCTACGCCTTCTACCGCTACCAGCAGGAGCGCCAGGAGCGCGGCGCGGAGCTGCCGCCCGACCCCGAGATCGAGCAAATCCAGCAGGACCTGGAGAGGTAAACCCCTGCTCCCACCCCTCAGCCCGAGCCAGGCCGCGCTCCGAGCCCGGCCTGACTCGCGCTGGGCCCGCAGCACCGGCAGCCAGGTGGGGCAGCGCCTGGCCATCATCGGGGACGACATCTACAGGCGCTACGACGCCGAGTTCCGCACCATGCTGGAGAGCCTGCAGCCCACCCGCGACAACGCCTACGAGCACTTCACCAAAATTGCCTCCAGGTAAAGCCTCAGGAGCTCCTGGCTGGGGTGGGGGCTTTCCCTGGAGGAGAAGGGAAGGGGAGGTCGTTGGGTTAAACCCACACTCTGAGCTTTGCCCTCCAGCCCTGGCCCAGCTCCCAGCGAGCTTCCCGGGGTGATTCCTGTGTCTTCTGCCTGTCTGCTCCTCCTCCTGTGCACTGCTCCTGTCATTGTCCCCTCCCAGTCCTTGCCCAGCTGCCTGGGGTCCCTCAGGGGATGTCCCTGGGCCACCTGGCCCGTGCCTGTCCCAGCTCAACCTGCAGGGCACAACCAGCTCCTGCTGTCCCCTGCTCCAGGCTGGGACAACCCCAGCCACAGTCTTGGGAGGTGGGATTAGGCTGGGACATCCCAGGGAACAGCCCCAGCCACAGTCTTGGGAGGTGGGATGGTCACAGAAATCATGGAATCATGGAATGGTTGGGTCAGGAGGGACCTTGAAGACCGTTTCAGCCCAACCCCTGGCATGGGCAGGATGCCACACACGAGATGAGGTGGCTCAGAGTCCCCACCCAAACTGGTCCTCATGGACACCTCGGTATGGGGGCTGCTCCACGGGCTGGCAGAGCCTGCAGGTGACACCCAGAGCTTGCAGGTGACACACAGAACCTGCAGGTGACACCCAGAGCCTCCTGCAGGTGACACCCAGAGCCTCCTGCAGGTGACACCCAGAACCTGCAGGTGACACCCAGAGCCTCCTGCAGGTGACACACACAGCCTGCAGGTGACAAACAGAGCCTGCAGGTGACACCCAGAGCCTACAGGTGACACACACAGCCTGCAGGTGACACACAGAGTCTCCTGCAGGTGACACCCAGAGCCTCCTGCAGGTGACAGCCACCCAAAGCACAGTGACAGGTGAGGAGTGAGGGCACAGACCTGGAAAACTTCCTGCCAGGACTTCCCAGGGAAGCTTGGATCGAGGTGGCACCGAGGGGTTCTGTCTGCAGGGAAATGTCATCCCGGTCAGGCAGCCTGTGGCACAGGCAGGACGGGTCTCTGGGCTCCTGCCACTCCTCCAAACACCTCTGGCTGTGACAGCCCTGTCCCTGTGCCCTCTGCTCGGTGTTTGTGTCTAATTCCTTCTTTTCTCCAGTGTTTAACTCCTTCCTTTCTGTCATTTTCCTGCTCCCCTGTCCGGGAAGCCTCGTTGGCTGAGGCAGCAACGCACGCAGGTAAATTAACCCCTGTCCCTTCCCTGTCACATTCAGGTAAATTAAATTAATCCCTGTCCCTTCCCTGTCCCACTCAGGTAAATTAAATTAACCTCTGTCCCTGTCCTGGACACACTCAGGTAAATTTGCCAATTACTGCAGAGCTGTATTTTTCCCAGGAATGTTTGGATTCCCATGGAAAATTCTGAGTGAAGCCCCATTTCTGAGTTACTTTTCTCACCTCACATAAAAAGATGTTCTATAATATCCAACCAAAGCTTTTCCTGGTACAATCTGCGACCATTTCCTCAATGTTGACCTGTTGCTATGGGACATGAAACAACACGAAGTGAACATTGCTGCTGTTCTCAAGGTAGAAAAGGGGGAGTTTATTTTCTGACTCCAACATTTCTAGATTTCTAAAGGTGACAGTGGACTGGAGGGTGACAGTGCCACCTCTCCAATGACACTGGACAAACCAACAGCCCATCAAATTTCCCCTCCTCCATAAAAGAATGCAAAACAATAAGTTGTTTACCGTGAAAAAGTTTGCTACAAGAACGCAAACACCAGAAGGCTTAGAAAATCTTAAAAAAATCAAAACGACGTTGCCCCCGCCGCTCGCGCTCCGCCGCCTGGGCAGCTCCGAGCTGGGATTCAGGGCTCTGCTGGGCTTTGTTGCAGCCTGTTCGAGAGTGGCATCAACTGGGGCCGGGTGATCGCCCTGCTGGCCTTTGGCTACCGCATGGCCATGCACGTGTGGCAGCGCGGCGTCAGCGGCTTCCTGCGCCGCATCGCGCGCTACGTCGGCGACTTCATGCTGCAGAACCGCATCGCGCGCTGGATCGCCCAGCAGGGAGGATGGGTGAGGGGGCAGCTCGGGGGCAGCTCGGGGGCAGGTTTGGGGCAGCTCGGGCAGCTCTGGGGCAGGGTACAAGGGGCAGGGTTTGGGGTTAGGGGGGCCAGGGCAGCTGGGGGAGTCAGGGTTTGGGGGTCAGGGGGTCAGGGTTTGGGGGTCAGGAGGGTAGATTTGAGGTGAGGGGGGCAGGGTAGCTGAAGGAGAGGGACTGGGGGTCAGGGGCTCGGGTTTGGGGGTCAAGGACACTGCCAGCACTGACCCCACCGTGTCCCCTCCCTGGCAGGAGGCCGTGCAGAACCTGGACAATGTTTACGTGAAGTACGTGCTGGTGGCAGCCGTGGTGGTGGTGGTGCACCTGGTGCTGCGGCGCTTCCTCACCCCCTGACGGGCCACGGGGCACGGGGCCGGGGGGCTCCGAGCACCCCCTCCTCTGCTCCACACCCCCGGCACGGGGGGGACCCCAGGAACATCCAGGAGACAGCATGGCTTGGGGCTGGGACCCTCCTGCTGCAGGGCCTGGGGTCTCTGCACCCCCAGGAGAGGACTGGGGAGAGGGGGGGCTCTGTTTGTTGTGTTTGGTGCCTCAAAAAGCTGCTGGGGGGGGGACATCTCTGGGATGGGGACATCTCTGGGATGGGGACATCTCTGGGACAGGGTGTCTCTGGGAGGGGACATCCCTGGGAGGGGACATCTCTGGGATGGGCCATTTCTGGGATGGAGCATCCCTAGGAGGGGACATCTCTGGGAGGGGACATCCCTGGCCCCCCGGCTGTTCTGGAGGAGCAGAGGGGTGTGACAATGCCCCAGTGACAGTGTGTGTGACAATGTGACAAGCAGTGCCCCAGTGGCAGTGTGTGACAGTGACAATGTGGCACGCAGTGCCCCAGTGGCAGTGTGTGACAGTGACAATGTGACACGCAGTGCCCCAGTGGCAGTGTGTGACAGTGACAATGTGGCATGCAGTGCCCCAGTGGCAGTGTGTGACAATGCCTGTGGTGCCCGTGCTGGGTCCCGTGCCCCTGGGGCAGCAGCAGAGCCCCCTCCCCATCACTGACAGCTCCATCCCTGTGTCCCAGGGTGATCCCAGCCCTGGCTGCTCCAGCTGCTGGAAACCCCAGCAGGGACAAACCCAGGGGGCTGCTCCCCCTCCTGCTGCTCCTGAGCCCAGAACTGGAACCTTTCCCATCCCTTGAGCCTTTCCCATCCCTTGAGCCTTTCCCATCCCTCAGCCTTTCCCATTCCCTGAGCCTTCCCATCCCTTGAGCCTTTCCCATCCCTTCAGCCTTTCCCATCCCCTGAGCCTTTCCCATCCCTTCAGCCTTTCCCATCCCCTGAGCCTTTCCCATCCCTTCAGCCTTTCCCATCCCTTGAGCCTTTCCCATCCCTTCAGCCTTTCCCATCCCTTTAGCCTTTCCCATCCCTCAGCCTTTCCCATCCCCTGAGCCTTTCCCATCCCTTCAGCCTTTCCCATCCCTTTAGCCTTTCCCAGCTCTCCATGGACAATCCCGACCCTTTTCCATGAAAACCCTCCTGCCTGGAGCCCTGCAGCTCCTGGGGGCACAGCTGGGAAGAACCAGCAGCTCCCCCAGCACTAAAACCTGTGAGTGCCTGGACTGGCAGTGGCCCCATCCCCCTCCTGCCCCAGTTGGGCTCCTTGTCTCTTACTGGGAGCCACTGGAGCTGCAGCCCCTCCCTGGAGCAGGGACCAGGCTCCTCTGGGCAGGGATCTGTCCTGGTTCTGCTCCTGGCTGATGCTTGAGTGATTTTGGGGTGAGGAAGGGAGCAAGCTCCTCTCTCCCATCCCAAACCTTCCTGATTTCTGCAAACCAGGGAATTCAAGCTGGGTATTCCCTGTCCTGCCCTCCCTCTCCTCCCCTTGCAGCTGCCCAGGCTTAGAAGGACCAGCCAGGATTTTTTAACTCTCACATTTCTCCTGCCCCTGCCTCTTTTTTTTTTAACAGAATAACTTTTCAGCCTGCTTCCCTATCTGAGCTTGGCATTTTGCTCCTGGCTGTTCCTGCAGGATCTCTTTTCCCTGATGGGAATGTTCTGGGCTGTGCTCAAGAGAAAAGCATTAAAATATTTGCTGTATTGTTCCCACTCCTGCAGGGCAGCACTGCTTGGCCATGCTCAGGTTTTGTGGCCACAATTTAGGTTTTGTGGTCACAATTCAGGTTTTGTGGTCACAGTTCAGGTTTTGTGGCTCACCTGAGCCCCCCTGGCTGCTTTGTCCCCTTGCAGGTGCATTTCTCCACACAAAATTCCCATTCCCATCGTGCCACCTCTTCTCCCAGCTTGGGAGAAGTTTCATCTCGAGTTTTAACTCGAGTTTAAAGCCGTTTCTCTGCTGTGAACCAGTTTAACCAGTACGACCCGTGCTTTCCCCTCCTCCTCAGCTCCTTTTTGGGTGCAAACACCACCAGATGGAGCCTTTTGGCCACGACGGGTACGAGCCACCAGTCGTTATTTCCCTTTTTTTTCTCCTAATCAGCCCCTTAATTGACAAATCATCGTCGGTTCTCTGCTTGGATTGTGTCCAGCAGGGCTTGGAAAAAATAAAAATTATCTTTAATTCGCTGCTTCAGACCCACTCCTGGAACTGCAGTGGATCAGGGAGAGCTTTTGCTGCTCATTTAATTCTCATTTCCCAGCCAAAGCTTCCCCTTGCAGCTGTGAGGCCATAAAGGATATTTTTCAGATTTATGGGAAACGACTGAGCCTTAGTGAAGCCCAGGACAGAGGGGAAAACTTTCCAAGAGGTGCTGCACAAAGGAAAAATTCCATTTTATCCGTTTTTCTCAGGGGATTTGCAGAGGGAGGAGCCTCTCAGGATGGCAGTGCCTCTCCTCCCTCTGCTCTCAGCTCCCCCAACCTGCCTGGGTGGAAAAAAGCTTGAATTGGGGCTGGGGGTGCTGGACTGGGACTGGGAATGCTGAACTGGGACTGGGAATGCTGAACTGGGAATGCTGAACTGGGGCTGTGCCCCACTGCCCTGCCAGCCCACACCAGGCAGGGAAAAGGAGCCTGAGGGATTTCCTGGTGCTGCCCAGGAGGAAAATCGGGGCACAGAGAGAGGAAACTCCTGGGCTGGCAGGAGGAATTCGCCCAGGAGGATTTCTCCAGGAGGATCCATCCAGGAGGATTCATCCAGGAAGAATACATCCAGGAGAATTTATCCAGGGAGGATCCATCCAGGAGAATCCATCCAGGAGGATTTCTCCAGGAGGATCCACCCAGGAAGAATTCATCCAGGATAAACTCACCCAGGAGGATTCATCCAGGAGGATTTATCCAGGGAGGATCCATCCAGGAGGATTTATCCAGGATGAATTAATCCAGGAGAATCCATCCAGGAGAATCCATCCAGGATGAATTAATCCAGGAGAATTTATCCAGGAGGATTCACCCAGGAGGATTTCTCCAGGAGAATTCACCCAGGAGGAATTCATCCCAGAGGTTGGGGTGGTGCATGGAAAAGGGCTGAGAGCCCAAAGCAGTCTCATTTACTCACCCTGAGCCTATTTTTTCCTCCTCCTGAGCCTCTTTTTACACCTTTTGAGCCTCTTTTTACTCCAGCTGAGCCGATTTGAGGGCGGTGTTCGATGCCACCCTGTCCCTCCTGGATGGAGGAGTGTGTCCCAGCTCCCTGAGGCTCAGAGCCACCTCTGCAGCCCTTCCAGCCCTTCCCCAGACCCTGGGCCACCCCTGGGCCACCCTGGGACACCCCTGGGCCACCCCTGGGCCACCCTGGAACACCCCTGGGACACCCCTGGCCAGCCCAGGGCTGGTGGCAGCTCCGGGTGAAGGGTCCACACCTGACCCTCGCTGTCACTGTCACCTTCCCTGCCCCACTCCCGCTGTCCCCGAGCAGTGTCCCCTCCCCAGCTGTCCCCAGGGTGTAAGGGACACTTTGTGGTGGCTCTGGAAGGGCGGGACAAGGACACAAACGTGTTTTTCCATGGGGAGAAGAGGGGAAAAGCACAGATTGTCCCCGGGGAGGGGGAAGGAGGGACCTGCAGGTCACCTTTGCACTGGGTGGGACACTCTGGGGTGGCTTTGACCTGCAAAAAACAAACAAAAAACCAAATCAAAACCACGTGTTTTTTTTTTTTTTTTACAAATAATCTGTTTTGAAATGATGTAATATATATAAATGTCTTTCTATGTCAAAATAAAAATGGTACACTGAGTGCAAACTCACCTGGCTGTGTGCAGGGTTTGCTTCCAGAAGCTTCCAGGAGCTTTGCTCCTCACTCCACGAGCTCCCCAGCCTCAGCTGCTCCTTAATTTTGGGATCTCTGGTCTCCTTCAGCTTTTTTTTCCAGATTGAGGAGCTAAAAGGGAGAGAAATCTGCTGCTGCAGCTTCTGGTGCCATCACTGAGCTGCAGAGCCTCCCCAGAGAGGAGAGGGGAAATTGTGGGGATGGAAAAGGGGAAATTGGGATGGGAGATGGGAGATTTGGGGGATGAAGAAGGGAGAATGTGGGGATGGAAGAAGGGAGGATGTGGAGATGGAAGAGGGGGAGATTTGTGGGATGGAAAGGGGAAATTGTGGGGCTGGGGAGGGAGAGATTTTTGGGGTGGAGAGGGGAATTTGTGGGGATGGAAGAGGGAGATTTTGGGGATGGAAGAGGGAGATTTTGGGGATGGAAGAGGGGAATCTGTGGGGATGGAGAGGGGGAGATTTTTGGGGTGGAGAGGGGAAATTGTGAGGATGGAAGATGGGAAATTGTGGGGATGGAATATGGGAGATTTTGAGGATGGAAGAGGGGAATTTGTGGGGATGGAAGAGGGAAATTTGTCGGGATGGAAGAGTGAGAGATTTGTGGGATGGAGAGGGGGAGATTTTTGGGGTGGAGAGAGGAAATTGTGGGGATGGAAGACGGGAGATTTTGGGGATGTCCGAGCAGCTGCTCCACCTGCCCAGAACTGAGGATTTTTGATGTGTCCACACAGGGGTGCAGGAACGTGTCCCCCGTTGATGGAGTGACTAAATTATTCTGTGTCTGCTTAAAAAGGCAAAAAGCCCAGAAGTTTCTCTCCCAGTTTGGTGCAAAGACACCTCACAGGAATTTTGGGACCTCACCTCAGCCCTGGGGCTGCCCACTGGACAGAGGCCAAGAGGTCCTGCCTAGGTAATTCACCAGAAAAAGAAGAAAACAAAGGAAATAATCACTTTTGTGAGGTGTTTTAGCAAGAGCAAGAACCTCTTACCCCTGGCTCAGTTTTTCTCTGTAAGACCTTTGTTATTTTTGCCTTTTATTAAACATTTTTCTCTTTCCAACACCACCCTGTTAATTTTATGGAATTGAGGGCGTAGCTGGGCTATCTCAGGTGAGATAAATTCTCTGAGAGCTCAGTAAGCCCTGGCTCAAAGAGAAACCATCCCAGGGGTGGCTCTGCTGTCCCCATGTCCATCCCCAGGGCAGTGCCAGCACCCCAGGGCTCCCTGGGCTTGGGTTTCAGGATGCCAGGAAGGTGGAACAGGATTCCTGCCAGGATTAATCCCTGGGAATGTGCTGGGAGAAGAGCAGAGAGGGAAGCTGGGGATAAAAACTGCTGCAGGAGGAGCAGGGGGCTCAGGCTTTCCACAGAACCCGCCAGGAGCAGATTAAAGATTGGAATCCAAAGGAATATTTCCCCCCTCACCAGACCCTGGGGGTTATAAATAACCTCCCCCAGCTCTGCCTCTTTGGGATCTCAGAGGATTCCCAGAGCCTGGGAGAGCAGAGGGTGAATTTAAAGGGAGGAGAAATGGCCCTAATTAAAGAGGCAGCTGCTCCCCTAATCCACTTTGTGCCCTGCCCCAAACCCAGATCCTGCTCCTAATTAAATCACCAAAAAAAATAATAATTAAGGCCACAGTAGCACTGCAGTGTTTGCCTGTGGCCATTCAGATTTGGGTTTGACCCCAAACAGAAGCCAGGATCTGGTGCCAAGGTGGATCTGGAGCTGGAATTTGAGTCAAGTGTCTCCAAAACTGGGTCACACCCCAAAACCCCTCAGTTTTCTGGGAATAAATGTTTTTTCAAACCCCAAAACCCCCGAGTTTTGTGGGAATAAAGGTTTTTCAAACCCCAAAACCCCTCAGATTTTTTTCTGGGAATAAAGGTTTTTCAAACTCCAAAACCCCTCAGATTTTTTTCTGGGAATAAAGGTTTTTCAAACCTTAAGCCCCTCAGTTTTGTGGGAATAAAGGTTTTTCAAACCCCAAAACCCTTGTGTTTTATGGGAATAAAGCTCTTTCAA